TAAACCATAGGCAGACTGAGCGGAGTAAACGGGGATGCCAGTGAAAAAAAAGTTTTCCTTAAAGGTTGAACCATATGAAATCAATAATGTTCAATTATTCATTTGCATGTTTCTTATGTTCTATAGAAGACTCCAATAAAAAAAAACCGTAGTAACACTCTGCAAAGAAGTTCTGTGCCACTGACTTGAGTGTTGTTGGTCCTTATCAAGAATTAGCAAAAAGGGGACTCCTTCTACACCTTACTGTGCATTGTATACACTGTACATTCGTATACAGCATATCCATTGGAATACAAGCCTTTACCCCTCAGACACCAAAATAAACACTTTCAAGTTCATCTGGTCTTCTCTGGTTCACAACTGAGGAACAACTGCATCAACTTCAGAATTTTGCATGCACCAAGAAAAGGTGGTCATCTGACCCAAGGGGTGGGGGCAAGTCTCTGCAACTTGTTACTATGAAGGCCAAGGCAAGTCCTGAGGTGCAGAGAAGCAGGGCTGAACCCACTCTGCTCATTCCATGCAGAGTACAACTGCAAACTCCTTTGCTCTCTCGCATCACCATGGGGTTTACACTGCCTTTCTAAGAGGATTCCAGGAAGCCCCAAAGTGATGGCACACGAAGACAGAAAAAACTGGCAGAGTCAATTCCCATGATGCCAGGGTACTGGGTAGTTTCCAAGGGCAGAGCGTTCCAGAAAAATGCAAATACTTAGGGCTTCCCAAAGAAATTCCAGGCCAATACAGACAGATGTTCTCTTAGGAAGTCACACAGAATTGCAGTTTAGAAGCTTGGATGAAGAGGTTAGAGCGCAAGGGCGAGCAAAAAGTTGGCACCCTATTAGGGATTCTAACCAACCACTGGGTATTCGCTCCTCCCTCCCCATTTCATACATCCACTTAGAAGACCCCTGTGCAGCTCATGATAGCTGGCGATATTTCTGTCCATTGCCAACGTGATGGCCTTTCAGTAATGGGGGGAAGGGGGTGTCTCAACAAACTTTAACCTTTTTTGAAGTTTACATGAGAATTAAAAATGCCTTCTTTCCAGTATTCAAATGTCTGCCACTTTAAAAAAGAAAAACAAAGCTGAGTATCATTCAAAAATGGAAGCCACCCCTCCTGCCACATCTCCCCAAGGATGTGCCACAAGACCTAAAGTAAAATAAAAATAAAGTTCTTATGAGGAGCAATTAAGGTATTCATATTTGACAACTATTTGGGAATTTCTGAACAAAATATCTCAGCCATGAGACATGGTCACATCAGTCCCACATAACTTTCAGCCTTAGAGCATACTTTGCTGTATTATGCCCTTTCCCAATTCTCTTTCCTCATGCTCCTTTCCCCAAATACATATATTGAGATTTTCACCCAACTGTAAAAAAGGTTTTAAGTAAGGTGATTTCAATAATCCTCAGCAGGATTCTGTCAAACGTGACAGTGCAGCAAGAAAGCAGCCATCATCCCTGCCATGGAACCTCTGTGGCTAAATTACTCACCTGCAGGTTGCAAACCCTAATAATAGAATAGATATGAATTTTTAAATACGAGGAAATGCACTCTTAGTTCACAGACCAAATTAAAGAGACCTTATTCCAAAATAAAGAATGTCTATGATATCTCATAATAAAACAATTTAAAATTTTAACAAGTGTTAAGTCCTACTGTTGAAGCATTCTTTTAATCTACATTGTGTTCCAAATAATTTCAAAGCAAAAAACAAGAGTCAACTCAAAACAACTATTAAAAAGCAAAAACACAAAACACAGAGCTAGAGCTCACAGTATTACTTCCCAAGCTCTAGAAAGCTTTCTATATAGGGGGGGGGGGGAACAAAAC